GGGGAGGGGGGGGGGAAACAAAAGAAATTGGTTATTCATCCCTCGACGTCGATGTGATTTCTTTTGCTTTACTCCCCCAAGCCTCGGAGCCAAATTAGAATTTCAAAATATATGAAAATCTACCCCTTCTATTTGACCCCCATAAGCTTGCAACCGCAGTGATCTGTGCAATGTGACAGATCATGTCTTCCCAGCCCCCCCCACCCCACGATGAATGACTTCGCCTCTAAGCGTAGTCATGTCGCTCCTGATCTCATTATGTGATAATCCACGTAATAAAAAACGCACATCAAATCAATCTCGATAACTACTATACTTCTGATAAACTCACACTTCTTTCTTCGATTGAATTAAACCAATAAAAGCATTTAATTCAAAAACACAAAAATTAGTTTCGATCTTAATTACGCCATATATATATTGCATAGACTGTTCAATCGTTTATAAAGCTATATCAGCTCAGAGAATATACAATGTTTACAGTTCTTACAATCCACTTCAGGTCAGCTCTTCGGGTCTATCTAACATGACGCTACGTGACCACATGTGGGGGCCACGTGCCCTACAAATAGGGGAGGCACGTGACTTACAATCTCTGTGCACACCGCAGTTCAATTTTCTTTCGAAATTTGTGGGAAAAAATTAATCATAGTCACTTGCTGTATGAGGTTCGCAATTCATTCATGATATCACCATAATGTTTACACCTTTGAAACTGAGTAAAGAAACTTCTACTTTGAAGCCAACACGCTATCGTAGCATTCTTTCCATCCACCTTTAATCTTAACACAAAGCAGGCTTCACCAAGGAATCAACGCATTAAGAAAAGCCACGAAAGCGATTGTTACCACGGGACCGAACGTTGCTGACTTCAACACAAAATTGCCCCTAGAACGCACATGCGCAACTTCACTCCTCTCAGCCTGTCTGCGTTTAACGTAGCCTGGACTGTCTACGGGATCTGTGTTGCAAAAGTCATCTTGACAACAATCCACCCAACAATTTTGCGGCGAAGGTTTTCCCGACCCATCCACGATGTCCGTGCATAGAATTTGCTCCAGCTCTTCGCAACCACTTGAAAAAGCGCATTCTTTAACTTTGGCAATTGTCTTACCGTGATTGTAAATCACTTGAGTGAAGCAAGAGTCGTAATGTTCTCCGAATTCAGGATGTTCCGAGCAGTCTTTAACTCTTGAGTGAGTCTCGCAGAAATTTGATGAATTAGCGGCATCTGTTTCATAAGGATCACATGAGTAGCAGTGGATTGACTGCCCTGAGAAAAGAAAAACACAGATAAGAGACATTAAAAGTAAACATAAGCTAAAATGTAGGCAAGTTCAGTAAATTTACTGATACACTATTAAAGTGCCGCTTATAAGCAATGAGGCTTCTACAACTTCGTAAGGGGTTTCAGGTGGACTTATAAACTGAGGGGGCTTATATCCGAGGAGGATAGAAATGCTGATCAAAGTAGGTATTCATTTCAATACTTTTAAATCAAAATTGAAACTAACAACACCGAAAAAACTGGAAATTAACAAAACAGAATTACAGACTTTTCCCTTGAATTTCGCATTTGATAATTAAAAATAAGTAATGAACTTCTTGTTCTGCAGTCACTTTAAAAACATTTTTGTTTGAAATAGTTCAGAGATCCCAACTCTTAAAACACGAAAACCTACAGGGGGGTTTATATCGTGGTGGGAGGGGGGGGAGGTCTTGCATTTTATGCTACTAGCGTTGCACGATTTCTAGTGTTCGCTGTTTAGTGATCAGGTTTAACGTTTTAATTACGACCACAAATATCAATAGAGCGAAGATCTTAAAATCGTAGACTACTATAAGGGGCCAGTCATTTTTATCACCATGGGTGGGGAGGGAGGTCGGAGGATTTTAGGGGAGGATTACATGGCTTTCAGGGGAATGGAGGGGGTATCAGCCGTCGCTAGCAGAATTTAAGAGGGTCTGTGTGGGGGGTCGCGTTGACGGTTGAAGGTTAGAAACAAGCCCTTTTGACGGTTAAATTTTAGGTCGTTTGACGGTTGACAGTTAACTTTTTGGAATGTCGTTTATAATAAGAACTAAACGCGCGAAGTTTGCTGTAATTTTTCATAATGACGCGTTTGTAAAGAACTATTTATATATAACAACTTTTATTAATAAATAACTAACGTTTTACGACACCGGAGGTGTTTTTACACCGGAAGTCAGTTCTGTCGTTAACCAGTTTTACTCGCATTAGGCCCACACCCAGTTCAGATGCCGTACTTCAGCCGAGCCGAATCGAATTCAACTTTAGGCCGACCTAAAGTAATTAATTCTGGCTGAATTGATTCAGACTCCGAACTTATTTCGGTCGAAATTAATTAACTGAAGAAAATTTGTGGCCGGAGCCGGCGCAGTTTACAGTAACAAATTTGATAAGTGTTATAGAGAACGAAAGTGATTTGTATCCTGGTCGTTGTTAGGAAGTTCTAAGTATTTTATTTGGTCAGTTCAGAAGTACCTGAATAAAGTCCGGCAGTTGATCAGTTTGTGTTTCGCCACGACCAAATATGCTTGCTTGAAATGTGAAATTCTACTATGCAATAAATGTTCTATTTTTGAAGAAAACAAAGATTACCATGTGTCGCTTTTTGCAAGCGATACACTAAAGAGGCGGGAAAGGACGTTGTTGACGCAGAGGACAACTACAAAGTGCCCAAAGAACCGACAGAGCGAAGAATCAGTGTCAGTTCGAAAGGCGTAGAATACGGCGCATAAAATAATTTATGTTTAATGATAAAATAATTTATCCATTTGATTCGGCTCATGTGAAGTGCGGCGTCTGAATCAAAGCCGGTCTACAGCCATTCTTCCCGGCTGAGTCAGGCGGGATTAATTGACCGAGCCGATCAAAATTAAATCGCCCGTTAAACAGACGCCGTAATTCACATGAACTTAATTCGTTGAATTCGATTCGGCTCGGCAGAAATACGGCGTCTGAACCGGGCCCACATAACTGTATTTTGGTGATATATCAAAACTTTTATTTATAAACAACAGAACTTAACCCCTATTAAGGCAATCGTTTAGTTCTTAAATTAAGGATACCCGAGACATTTGACGGCTAACATTGGCTTGCTTATCTGACGGTTGACGGTTAAGGACATACAAATCACTTTCGATCTTTATAGCACTTATCAAATTTGCTACTTTAAACCGCGCAGGGCCCGGCTACAAATTTTCTTCAGTTAATTAAGTTCGGCCGAAATAAGCTCGGCGTCTGAATGAATTCAGCCAGGATTAACTAATTTAGGTCGGCCTAAAGTTGAATTCGATTCGACTCGGCTGAAGTACGGCGTCTGAACTGGGCCTAACCCGTTTGAGACACTCGTTTAAAATGAACTATAAAAAGATTGACTGCCATTGAGCAGATTCCTTACAACACTACTAAGCCTTTGGAGTATCAGGTAAATTTTGCTGTGACGCAATCAAGATAATGAAGATGTGCTGGTAGAGATTGTCTCTACGCACTCATTTAAATTTCTCTCAAGTACTCAAAGATTTCCGCTCGAAGGAAGGCTAGATCACGATTTTAGCACCTGTCGGCTTAAAGTGTTTCTAAACGCGAACAATTAGAAGCCTTTTTCCGGAAAAAAAACTCTTTTGTCCACATTCCTGATTTAAACTCTGACATAGCTTAGTTCTTACATTACAAGATCTTACAGTTGAGTAATTCTCAACCCAGGGTCGCTTAAAGATTAGAATGAGACTTAAAAGGAGGGTTTAACCTCCAAACCCTAAGAATGGAAGGTAAATAAAGTTTTAAACTGATCTCATCTGGAGGTAAAAAGGTTAAAACGGAGCCTAAAAAACATCATAGCACTTCACGAGATTGTGATGAAAAAAGGACAGGGATTGTTAATCCACAAGGGTTCCTTAAAGAAGGATTTAATGAAATCTTTGTTAATTAATCTTTCAGAAGCGAAGCGTTTGGGCTAGGAAGGTCAAATCGTGTTACAAATTTCACTCAGTAAACTACACGATCAGCACGGATTGTTAAAAAAGAGTATGTATCAGAATTCTAACCTTAAATGTTTACCTTTTCTTGCTGTGCGAGACGAAAGGACATGCTGCGATATTTCTTAACTGTGCGCGAGAGTTACACGAAGTAAGTTTCCACGTGGCCAACTCGTCATCAGCACCGAAATTCCCGAAAGGAATGTTAATCTTTGTTTTTTCTTTCCCTCTCTCGTTTGGAATTACTTTTGGATGACTTGTCCGGGTCAACTGGAACATCTTATACTCGTAATACAATTAGCGAGAAGTGATTTACGCAAGCGATTAATTTTTGATAGTTTTGTACATTTTGTAAGTACACGCAAAGCCATTTCGCCAATGCGCGCAGACGTAGCTGCTTAAGAACTATCAGGCTTTTTTGACGATAAAACCCCAACCATTTGAATGATGTTTGGCCACCCTTTCCAGGGAAACTTAAAGAAGTTTTCATAGCGTGACTCTGGATTGCATGCAGCTCTTGGGTGAAATTGCGGCCAAGGTTTTATCTTGCGCTTCGACAGTTATCCGGACACATGACCAGTGCTGTTGTCATTGATCGATTGTAAATGGTACTTTTTTTTCTAGTAACCGGAAAATATTTTAGCGGATGTCGGTTTAGATTTATCACCTGTTATCGGTACAAAATTGATGACTCTCACTAAATATTCTGGGGTCAAATGCAACTCGCCTACACCCTTAAATTTTCACATCAGAGCACGCGTAAACATATTTAAAAAAATGATTCTCTTGGAAATTAGCAACCCACTGAAGCATATTTTATACTTATTAGAGTAGTATGCAGGGCGCTCGTCACATTTGGACTCATGTACCCCTTAACCAACGCACTTACTTGATATTTCATCCAATCTGTTCGCGGTTTGAAGAAACACGAACTCAAGATTTCTCTCTGCCAACGCTCTCACGCACCCTCCTTAAAATGACAAATTATTCCGCGCAGTGATATCAACAGGCATCAGCGGCAAAATACCTCACATTTAATGATCCGATGATCAATTTAGTAAACAGCCAATCGCGTAGCGAGTTCATCAATCAGAAGTAACTTAACTCGGGTGCGGTTCGTAGTCGGTAGTTTGAAAGTTTATCACAGAGATATCAACTTGACACTTTTTTGAAGCTCTTCAGTGAGAAATTAAAACACACTAATTGTTTCAACAGAGGAGCGTGGGTGTTCGTTTCACAGTTCTAGCCTCAAAACTAGTTTTCTCAATAGTCGCACTCAAAGCCTATTAGGAGAATAAATTGAAATTAACGTGGCACTGTCCGATTTGTGAATTTCTGTTTTGCATGATCAAAATTTCTTATCAGATAACTTTTAAACCCCCTAAAGAGTAATGTAGACCATTATCAACGAAGAAATTTCTGGAATTGGTCACAAAGGAACATTTTATCTTCTTATATGACTGAGGATAAAAAAGTGTCGGCTGTGGTATTATTGTAAGACTCCGGTGAGTCCATCTTGTAACTGCACCCAGATTACAGAACAGATAACTGTACGCAACATCACGAAAGAAAAAAAATCAAGTTTGTCGAATTCCTGTTCTATTTAAAAATGCATCAGTTTTACCAGTTAAAACTACGAAATGGCCACTTTAGGACGCTACAAATTAATTACATTAATGAATAGAGGTCAACGTCCTCAAGGAACGAACGCGTAATTATTTTTGCACATTTTATCGTTAATTGACGCTACACGGCGTCTGCGATGTTTTTCAAATCGTGTGGTCGGGATTCTTCGAAAACCTGAGAATTTCTTTGCTGCTATCAAGTATTAACTGTTCGCCGAAACGAATGTTTTCGCTGAGGACAGGTCTGCCGCAGAGAGGCGAAGCATTACGAACACAGGTCTCGAGTAATTTATCATGTAAACAACACTCAAATACGCCAGATCGGGACAAAACTGAAATATTTCCACCAGGGTGAACATTGCGTGATAGATCACATACTTACCAAATTTCGCGGCTAGAAGTGAGTAGAATGCGATGTAAACAAGCTTTGATGCGTTCATCTCCTTCATGTCCCGCGTAAGCGCTGTTGGTTCTTCAGTCCTCTTACCTAAATTGTATTAAATTGTCAACCGTCAACGATCGGTTTTAACTGACAACTGAACAATGGCATTTTGTGACCCCGTTTAGTAGATGTTGAAAATAAGTGAGACATATTGGATTTCGGTCAGTCTGGTTTTCGACGTTAAGCTCCATCCCTTAGCGAATTATCCCCCGTGTCCCCACTCCCTTCGTCTTAGGGACCGCTCGTTACATATTACCTGACGGGAGCTGGAGGATTTTGTTTGAGTCGTGAAATACCATAAAATTTGATTTATCCCCTGCTATGGTTATGTAAGATTCTTATGGTACCTCCTCAGTCTTTTATCTGCACTCTTTTGGCAACGACGGACCTCCCGCTCCACTCCCCCTTAAAAACCACGATTCCCTCAAAACCTCCTAACACCACCACCCCCGGGAGATTAATAATGACCTTTCTTTTAGCAGAGCCGCAGGGGTCGAAGGTCCTGATTGAGAGGGGCATGGCAGTGGGGGAGGGGCGAGAGGGGGATGTGGTGAGAGGAAGTTAGCAAGTTCGAGTAAATGCAAACTTTTCCCTTCTCTGTCTCGTATCTTGAAGTATCCTGATATCTTATTTTTAATTTTCTGGTACTGTTGATTGAAATGCATGCACACAAGTGACTTCAGTATCCAAAATATTACATGCAGATTGACCCTCAGCAGTCTTGTTCTCATGGTTATCTACCTTCCGGCCTCCGCCTCCCCTGGGAAAAAATATATAGGGAGGAGATATAAAAGCGTTACTTTTTTCGGGAGGGGGAAGTGGGACCTACTCCGTTTCACAGTTAAGAAGAGAAATATTACCAAATTGTAGAATCGCTTCCCACTAATTGCACTCTCGTATTTCTACTTTCGAAAACAAGAAAGAGAGCGAAGTATTATTTAAATAAAGGAAAACTGGTTGAAAAAGAATAGCGTGGATTTCGCAAGAGATCACCATGACTAATAGTCTCCGCCGGAAATTTTCGTTTGGACACGCTGGTGCTATTGAAATATGAAGTCGGCTGTCAAATCAAAAGAAGTCACTTTTTTATACAAGGGGCTGATATAAGAGGTAATTATTTCAGCCTGTTGACAGAGATTGCCAAGCCTTGGGGCAACGTTTCAGCCCTGTCAAATTATCTCGCCTGTTTTTGACAGAATGACTCTCTGTGTCGCCTTTTTTCTTTTTAGCGATGTTAGTGCTAAGATGTCGTCATGATCATAGAACGGAAGGAAAAAGCAAATCTTCAATTAACGATGTTTAAAAGCGAATTCTGTTTTTAACCTTCTCTCTCCATTTGTCATAGAGATATCATTTATCAGACAGTTTGCATGGCGTGATGATTCAAAAGACCTTCAGTTATCATGAACTTGGAGTTCAAGCGAGTACCACATGGTATATCACTTTCCTTTCTAGTTTGGAATTCGGGTACTTGATAAATGAGGAAATTAGACGCTGACAACTAGATAAAAAGGTGCAATTATCCGCTGAAACCGCGCTTAAAAGCGCGGGTCCGGTTTACAGTTGAGATGTCTTTTGGGCGCCAAACAATTTTAGATACAAAACAAAAAATCTAGACAAAATAAAATTGTAACGCGGTGGTGAATTGCATGTTTTAACTTCTAATAAACGTCAGTGAGACTTTGTAACAAGCCCTCTTTTGTTACTTATTGTAATCAAAAATGGATGTGAAATAATCAATTCTCAGACAGACTAAGCAAACAGATCTGAAAGCTTATTTCTTCCTCTTGCACCACGCATCCAAACCTTCTCCTCAGTCTGTCTATAATTAAGCTGGTTAAACCTTCGAAGAGTGCTCTCCAAATGAAATCGGAACTCTGCTTTTCATAAAGTCTATGTGTGAGGTTAACTATGACTGTTGCAAAGAAACATTTTTTCTGAGATATTTTTGCTCGACTAAACGCAATTTATGCGACCATTTAGATCGCGTCAAGCTATTCGGTGATGTGTTGTTCTTTTAAATGCGAAATACTTTTCATTATGCTACGTTTTGAAATGAGAAAAGAGTACCCCTATAATTTTCCAGATTTAGTCTGGATGCAAGAACTCTGAATACTCCTAAAGGAGATGATGTTTTTGAAACTTCAAAGTAATTGACTGATCTAGAACAGGTTTAGCTGTTATTTTACGTTAATCGTGAAAAAGGACAAAAACAATCCGTTTTCCTTAAACTGAAAAGGAAATAAGTTTCGGGTACACATTTGCAAAGGCTGTGTTACTCTTACATATGGGTAAATACATTAATCTGCACATTTCACCGCCACATCTGTTTCCTCGCGCATAAATTTGAAAGTGAATAGTGACACTAAAAACAAAAACAAACAAAACAAAACAGAAAATGACATACGCGACCATTTGACAAGAAGCCAAAATTTTTGTGATTGCAGGTGACAAATCCAGCTTAACAAAAGCAGATTACAAACTTTCAGACTAGAATTAGCTGGGCGGAAGGTTGGTAAACAAATGCTAATATAAAACAGTGCGATATTAGAGGAGACTTAAAATTTTGTTTTCGGAGTTTTGCCGATGGCTTCCGTCAGTATGGTTTTCTGAAAATGTCTTTCATACGTTTTCCTCATGGCGTCTCGGTGTGGAGTACAAACTGAGTAGTCCAAAATTCTTGTCAGTATACTTTGCGGTCAAGTCATGAATTGTATTGCCTGGAGTGCCAGCAAGCCCTTAGTGTTATTGTTGCGACACGAGCCTACTTCATTAGCCAAGAAAGTCAAGCGGTCCTTGATTAAAGCGAGCCGACGGTGCGAGAGGTCTATTAGAGATCTGGCGCTGATCAGAATTAGTAAATTGTACGCTAAAGGTAGTTGTAAACCAGTATAAACGGAATACGTAAGCTTCATTGCTGAATACCTTTTGTAGTTTAACACCGTTAACTTCCCGGCTTTTGGGATGTTTTTCATTTGAGCACACCTGCATATAGATCGGATTACAAAATATTTTTCACCGTTCCATCCCAGATGCGGCAGGAAAATTTGGTAGTTTCACGAACATGAAATCGTTGGTTTAGACGGCAGCTATTATCATTTCAAGTTTACATTTTTTCAGTTTAAATGAGTGCCCAAGAATCAGCATTCTTAGCCACACAGTACGTAAAATGAATTATATCGGATCTAAAAGTATGCTTGAAAATTTCCAAACGATCATATATCAAAACAAGAAGCTTTTACCGAAGCAAAATGTTGCGAAAGAGAAATCGAGTGGATGTAACTCAAAGTATTAAAACACATCTGCAACTTGCCTAAATAACCTCAAAAAAATTCCTCCCAGCGGAAATTAGTGTTTTTCCTGTGATGATAAAGAAAGAGAAAGTTCCTGCAACAATAACAGGGTCTTTATTCTGACTTTCCTCCTGACTCTGCCACGAATACGATTGGTGCATTCGATGTTTCCGCATCAATTTCGTATAGAGCAAAGGGGAAGGGGAGGGGGGAGTCATTAACATACAAAAAATACAATTTAACCTTGTAATTTACTAGAGGAAAAGGCGGGAGTCTGAACAATTTTCAGTGCAAGACAATCAAATTTATCCGTCTTTCTCGCTGCGAGAATACCAGTCCGCTGTTAGACAGAGAATTAATTGCAGTGGTGTGAGCATTTTACGTATGGAGCGCGGAAATGAACAGCCATGACCCCACCCCCCCTCTCCACACACACACACACACACACACACACTAACACTTGAAATATCTTTGTTTGCCAAGCCCTTGCTATGCCACAAGTCGACAGGAAATAACAACATATTTTGCCGTAAAATATTTCACTCAATTTTTCACTTGATCTCGAAAAATTGAAATAGATAGATAAATGAATACATGGATAAAAATCCTTGAAACTGTTTTAATTTTTACCGAAAGAACAAGTTATTCGCAATCTTTCTTTGTTACAAAAATAAAATGTCTGGCAAAATTGCTTGTGATAGACGTCTTCTTTTTCACTTAGAAGTTATAACATATCTCTCAGTTGGTACGAGCGCCATGATTGTCAATTTAGCGGGCCGGACTTCATTGTGCCGCCAGCTAATTTCAAAAGTATGTCTGAACTGAAGTTTTCTGCTCTATTTAAATCCAGAAATATATTAAATACAGTATATTAACTAGCCTCGTGTTCTTGGTCCGTACTGTACGATTACGGAAACGGAACCTCTTTTTTTCCGTTCGAATCCATGGCCCGCGCGCTTCGTGCATAGATCGGAGTGGAAAAAGACTTATCCGTAACTTAGCGGTGCAGACCTCGAGCTTGGTTGGTATAAAAGAGATATATATCGTTGCATGGGGAGAGAGAAATGTGGGGCATACCCAGTCGATATCATTGCTCACGGAAGACTAGTAATATACCGTCGAAAAGTCGCGATCTCCATTCGAATTGACTAAATCATGAGACAAACAAGCAGTAAGAACTAATTATCATAAAAATATAGGATAGTCCATAAACACTTCCTACCTCGCAATTACTTATCAGCCAGTTTGAAACGTCTTTAGAAAAACAATTTTTAAAGCCAGCAGAGCCGAGGAAAACAAGCACATTTATTGTTGTTCGATCGAACGGAACGGAAACTCTCGATTCAGTTGAACTTGGCAAATAACAAACAGGCGTCTAAGGGCTACAGGTGCAAGTTAGAAGAGCAAGGTTCACCTTAGCCGAATCTCACGCATGCGTAGAAGAACCAAAACAGCGGAAATATGATATAATATAAATTGCCTGATTCATCAGTTCATAGCTAGAAATCGGAGAAGAATGACGGTCACATGTTGTCAGTGATGGCACTTGAATCAAATGGACTGAATTTGGCTGAGAGCTACAAACCCTGCTTTAAATGGTCTGGAATTGATCCTGGTGCTGGTGAGTATATATGGCATTTATTTTACCTGTGTATATCTGCTGTAGCACATTTTCCGTTATAAGATATTGACGTTGTATTTACTTCGTGTCTAGAATTCACGGTGTATATATTGCTGTACGTTGTTAATGTTTAAAGAAGTTAGTTTGAAAGATCTCGGTGGTCATGCAGAAATTATGGAACGAGTAGTGTAATATCTAAGCAATATGTGGTAAATTTTGAGGGTTGAGGGATTTTAGTTTCACAGCGACGAAAACAAATAAGGAATTCTTAACGTGCAGTCAATGTGGAAGATCTGAATCCTATTTATTCACATAATTATGGACTTGCGATTTTTATATTTCAAACAGGGCGTTCGGTTTGTTTTTAATATAATTTTCGTCTAGTTGTGTCTTTATAATTTTTCCTCGCTGCGACTGAAACCCGCAAGAGATCATTTTATATGGTTCTCACATCTCTGAGTGTGAATTACCATGCATAATCAGCGATAATCTTAGATAATTATAAATCTCCTCATGATTTACCAAAACAAAAAAGACAGTTTCAGTGCACGTTATCAGAATCAATTCGAAATAAAAGTAACGATATAACCTATTTTCCGAGTTTAAAATGGAAGATTATGATATCAGCCATGGCTTTAATCCGCGTGAAAATTCCCTCGAGCTCATGGCCTTAATTTACGTCAAATATAATTGACTATTGTGAAGAATAGTTCAAAGAGAATTCCAGAAATCCTGGTGTTTTATTGAAAAACAATCCCACAAGAACCGCAATTTCTTTGTTATTTGTGATATCTGTTTTTACTACAAAAAACATCGTAATGAAGAGGTAACTGAATATCTAAAAAAGTGAATGACAACCAATTAGATCGACAACTGATCAAAAGAACTGAAATTTTACTAAAAGGCGGAAAAACATCGTTTTATACTTTTTTTTTGGTTTTTCACTTCATTTGTGCAGTAAACTTATTTAAGAAATAACATAGCCTGTACGTCCCGTAAGTTTCAGAAAACCTTTGGCTATTTCCAGCGTACCCGCTGACGTATTATTTTCAATCTCGAGCTCCCTTACCATATATAGGAGTTAAGTAGGTATGTTTTGCCTTAAAGGGTGAAATTTTCAGCTGTTTTAGTCTAAAAACAGGAAAACCTCTACATTTTATGGTCTTGAGGTAAATCATTGAGGTTTTTGAGGGAAACACGAAAGCATATTTAAGTTCTTTTCTTTTAACTCCAATTAGACTGTAAAAAGAGAAGTAATCAAAATGTGTCATTTCAGATGAATTTTGTCAACGTTTGACATCAGCGTTGCTGTGGAGCTTAACTTGAGCTACAACGAATATTAACTTCTTGATTTTCAAATCAAGTAAAACCAGGTCTCAGAGAGAATGTGGATTTTAAGGCTGGTTGCTCAGTTTCACCAACAGACTCAAAGTCCGAATCGTAAGATCGGTTTTGATCGGTGACAATAAAAATAGGAATCGAAACCGGAGCTATCGGCGTTGGGAGAATCAGAGCAGTTACATTTAAATTTTCGTTTGAGTCCGGCGGTGACCTGGACGCATATAATTTAGAGACTGGAACTAATTTGTCGGAGTCACAAGCAGAGGCAGAAGCAAAAGAAGTGATCTTCGACGAAAGATCCGGAGTTTTCAGGAAATCTAATAGCTTATAACCCAAGCAATTTAGCTTGCACGGATCAAAAGCCGCGGCCAGGTTTGGCAAATGACTTGCTGAGGTTTGATATAGGGTGAGGTTTTTGGAAAACCGAGCGTTACATCCTTCAAATTAAAAGAATTCCGACAGGTATCTTCAAACCGCAACTGATAGACATTTACTCCGTGAACTAAGGCTCATTGGAGACCGAAGGTTGGCACGTTGGCATAGTCATGTTAACCTGTTACAGTATATCTCTCGAACAAAGCTTTCTGGCAGTACCTGGCTACACAACGTCGTCACACTGACGCGCAACAAATTTAACTGAATGGAACGACGCTAACATGGCTGAGCAGCCGTGCACGCTCAAGATATTACGATTTTAGAGCGAAATTTATGGGTTCTTTTTTCTTCTTTCGTCGCTATTTGATTGGTCTGAATGGCTTGTTTCACTCTCCTAACCAATCAGATGTAAAGCTTATAGCAACTACGACTTGGTAGCAAGCGTTTTCCCGCGCTTGAGACTGTTCGAGTTCTCATTGGCTCTTTTTAATACTTTCCTCGATTCTAATTGGCCACTGTTATTTGTTTGGTTTTTGGTTTTACGAAACTGATTTGAAATTAACCTCAATATGTCGATGTACCCAAAATGTTGTTTAAAACATCAAATCGTACACGCTTTACAACCTCTTCGGCGATTACTTCTCAAACATGCACAAAATGCCTTCCTTGCCTTGTTCAGTCTTTAAACATCTTTGGTTCTTTTCATCCCTGAATCAGAAAGCTTGTTTTAATAAAATAAACCAGAAAGAAATGTTTTCATCGAAATATTATCATCGGAAAAACAGCGTTTCCGGGACTTGCTTCAAAATGAAATTCGAGAGTACCAAGTCACTATTATATCAACAGAATGCATGAGCAAAACAGACCGAAACGTGGAAATAAAATAATAAAGCCATAACGAAAACCGGTAGCAATGCGCCTGAAAAAGGACTCTTCTGTTTTCTTCAAGCTTATGGGAAATCCGCCTTCTTCCTGGCTGATCGTGTTGCTTCGATGTTATTTAATTAGCAGTTAAGAGCGTTTCTTGCTTATTGAATAACCCCAAGAGAAAATCTTTTCTAAGCTTAACAGACCTTAGTGATCGAAGAATTCCATTTAGAATTTTTTTTCACGATTTCTGCGACTACATATTCATAAAACTTGATGTTCTAGTGATTATTTTACCGCTGTAAATGGCCACAAATTCATTTCGAATTTTTGTTAAGTAAATGTCACGAACGTTTTGTGAACTGTGATCTTCTCCCATTAGGTGAGCTTTACTTCAATCAGTTTAAAATGTAGTGGTAGGCATTTCTTCTTTTCTAAAATGTCTAATTTTAGTGACAAAAAGCGCGAAAGTGGCGTTGAGACGAAAAGAAGATTGCTATTTCAAACTCTGTTATCTGAGACAATATTCTATTGTTTTGATCTTACATGGCTAAGAAGCGACTAAAACTTACCCTTTTTTTGGCAAAACACTTAAAATTTAACGCTATACAAATGTAGTCTTAGATTTTCATGACGCGCATACACAAGAAATTAAAACGGACTGACATATTCTGCGATATCACTGCTGTTCTATATAATTATGTAAATGAAATTTCCCAAGCCAATAAATGGTGAATCTCAAAATGCCATAAGTTTTCGATTGAACTGAGAAAAATCATGTTCTTACCATTTCATTACGATGCTTTTTGTTCAAACAACGTGTCTTGTTTGGTAAGAACCAGCGTACAGACTCGAAATGAAAAAATCTTCCGCGAGACAATATATCAAGTATTAAATTTTATGACACCGGACAGGTCGTCGCCATTTGGGTTGTAATAGAGTTGCGGTTTTTGTTGTACTGACATTTTGCTCTTAATTCTCTGCGATAAGACTTTTAGTTGATTCCGCCGGCGTCTACAGATCTGCTCTTGAATTCAATTAAAAAACACTCACAAGGAATTTTGATTAAATCACAGAAATTTGGGGGGAATATCAATCGACGGAAGGAGCGAAAAACATATCCTAAATGAGCACCTGAACCTTTCCTTTTCCCTATAAAAACAGGATTTCCTGTACCTTTGTCATGAGTACTTACTTCCGAAAATGATTTATGATGATTTTTAAGAGCAGTGAAAATGAAGGGGAAAATACGAAATTTTTAAAAGCAGGCTAAACGTTGACTTCGCAATTAGGGTACTGAGCGCTAGCCTGCGAATATCACTGTTTTATTCAGCCTCGATTTCGTGTAAACGAAACCGTTACTGTTGTCCCCATTACCTCCGCAATTGCTCTTTACCAGTTCTCTAACAAAAACCATCGGCCATAATTTCGACCTCGACAAAGTTACAATTTTGCCCACTTTGAAACTCTGTAACTTTAGAGCTGATCAAAATCAAATGGCGATTCGAGAGGAAAGGAGCTAGATCTGATGTAAAGTGATTACACACTGAGAATTTTCAAATGAATCTACCTTGAACAAACATGATCAAAAAAGCGTCGAGTGTCGCGAAATCAAACCTATGCAAGTTACCATAGCCAATCAGAACCAGGGGCATTTAAGGAGCCTTGTTAAAAGAGGCGCATGTATACGATCCCAAGCGCGGGAGTGCCGCGATTGGTTCGGGCCTCTAGAAATTTATCACAAATCACTCGAAGTAATCCGGTATTGCATTAGTTTTGCTTTACTTCGCTCTGTGGCTAGTCCAGAAAACTCGTGCCACTAATTCAACCAATCACATGCAAAAATAAAACCAATCATGACTTGGTCGCCCGCGTTTTCCCGCGGTTTTACTTCAAGTTCTCATTGGCCCTGAAAGGTATATACCTTCCTCCTGATTGGCCATTCTGATAGCTTTGGTTTCGACGAGTGCTTTAATCTGCCTGGTGGAGACCAGACTAATTACAGAGCAGAACGATCCAAGACTAAATGTCATGCCGGATTATTTGACTCGCACAAAAGAGGTTTGTTTGTGTACCTCTTTCGTCCATCTCACTTGAAGACAAGTTGAAATTTGGTGCTCGCTACTAGTACTAAAGCGTGTGGCTCCTTTGGCGGAAAAAGTTCTAAATATGACTACTGAAAACATTGATGAAAGTGACATATCAATTATTTAAGGGGAGCTAAGAACTTAACCTCACAAGTGTCATTGCAGACAACAATTTAATCACTTCAAAGATAATAAATTATTTGAGTTCTTTGTTTTTTTTTTAAATTCCCGTTTAGCTACGTATTTATAACTTGACAGTTCTGCCTATATTGTGCGCTTGTAATATTTGAATATTTCAGTATTATATAATGACTCAAAGAATCTTCAAATAAGCCATCAAAAGTAAATATGTCGCTTAAAAGTCTTAAACAGCTTAAATTAAAAAGTAGCAAAGGAAAAGTTAAATATTTAACAGATTTTTTTTTAAATGAAAACAGTTTTTTCTTGATTCAAATAACATTTTGTCACAGCTTCCAAAGTGTGTTGCAAATGTATCGGCGCGCAGTTTTAATGTAAGGAAAATAATGTTAGTATATATAAAAACCTGTCGGCAAAGCTTTTTGAATTCTTTTTATCTCAGGATTATGCGGTCAGAGGGGTATTAACATACATTTTGAATGAGGTTTTAATCATGGAAAGAAAATTTTATGTTACACTTTTAACAGAATTTAATAAGTCAGCAAACCTATTGAAGGACGAAATCCTAAATAAATCATTGTATGCCAGACAAACCACAATTCAATAAGTGTGAATTAAATTTCAAGACAAATATTAAGGTCGTAATCGTAAATATGCGCATACGAAATTCAATAATTATTTGCTCTCGACGATGCGAAGCGTTTTTCCAATAAAGACTTTAAAACCGGCGTAAATCGCTCCACATTTTAGGTGAAAATGAGCACAAACACCTTCATAAATTCTATTTGCAATGTCTTAAAACTGGCGTGTGAAGGATTTTTGAATAAAAAGTATATATGACAAATTCGAAATTTTTTCGAAACGTTTACTATGGGATCATAAATTTTAACTTTCCATGTCTCCGAAACCATTCTACGGTAAATAATTTTTGCCTCATCTTTGTATAAGGAAAAGTAAACGAACTAATGGCAAAAGTAAAAGAAAGAAAGAAAGAAAAGTTGTGGCTCCTCCTACTCTGAAAACCGTCAAAGGTGGCATTTTTCTTTGAATTAAATTTTTCAGTGTCACTATGAACTTATCTCAACGCAGTCTAGTTTTTTTCGTTCTGTTTCTTAGTTCATCTTTTTCTTTGCTCCCTCGCAATTCTCCTATTTTTTTCGAAAAAAAAAAAAAAAAAAAAAAAAAAAAAAAAAAAAAAATTGACGTTTCTATTTTGAGCTGCCACACGGTTTTAAAATAATTAATACAATTTATAGATACAGTGTTTATATTTTTTCTGTTCAAGGGCTTGAGGGCTTGGTCTCTATGATATCATTAGTTCGTATCTCTTCAAAGGCTTTATAGTGACGCGGTTGAGAATGCTCGTTAATCTGCATATCTAGCCATTAGTATCTAGTCACATATCTGACTAAACTCAAAGATCGTCATCTGTGCATTTATTTCAATGATAATTAAGACGCTGGCAGCTGAACGGCGACAATAGGAGATCCAAAAACCGCAAATAGTTGCCTAGGATCAAAATGGATTTACCCTCTCCTAAGCTATAGCCAAAATAACGATCAGTCGAACGTTTCGCGGTGAATTCTGATCGGGGGGAGAATCTTCTGCTATTTTGGAAAGAAATTGGAAAAAAAAATCGTCCGCTTACTAGCCAAGTTTGGGGATTTTCGATCGATCGCTGGTTGCATGCGCTAGTCGAGTGTCAATAATTATGGCCTATAGCAGCAGTTGGAAACGAATGAAAAAGGTGTTTTCGTGGGGAAAGAAGAATCGAAATTCTCAACCAGCGCCTTCCACGCCTTACAACGACGAACTTACATCGTCACCAGGTAATACGCTTGTTTTTTTCTTCACCGTAGAACAAAACTGTTCTAATATTTGTTCTAACTTCTAGGCTTGTAGTTTACTCACATTATTACATCACCGAAATCGAGCTCTATGGCGGATTTTAGAATCACAAAGCCTCGGGATTTCGCGGTTAATTTTCTTTGGTCAGTTTGAAATCCTCTTTAGGTCAAGCAACCAGTTGATTTTGCAGGAGTTCCACTCAAAATTGCTCCCTGTCTTTATCAAGATAAAGGCTTACAAAAGCCTCGATGGTTTTATCGGCCGAGCAGATAAACCTAGATATACGCTCAAAATTTAGAAGTATTATCCACAGCGAACGGGCTATTAGAGATATATATTTTTAAGCAAATATTGCTGTCAAAATGTGGTTGTTTTCAATTCAACATCCTTCTTCTCTCGAGTTTTCTAAAAGAAAAGGCAAACATGTTTCCTGCGGTGTTGAAAACTTTAAGTTATTAATTCTATGAGGCAGAAAGAAATTCTACTTGAAGTTGTAATGTCCTCTAAAGCAGCCGGTCATTTGGGTTATATGTATTTAGTGTGCACAGACCGATTCGGTTGGTAAACATGGCAGATATATTAATTTACGGCCACGAACCGCCAAGCTTAGACTGTTAATTCTGTTGTTTTAGCGAGAGCACATTTTATTCCAAAACAGTGTATAATGTAGCAACATTGTGGTCGTTCATTTAGCTGTTCTGCTTGCCTTAAATTTTTTTTTAGAATATTGAGATTTAAAGCGACACAGAAACAAAATGAATTCTTACTGAAAAGATTCTGTTCTGACCACCATAGCCCTGATATATAAGCACATTCACTTCGTTAAGTAATGCATTGTTTTCGTTACGTTTCTGTTGGCGGTTTGAGGTTTTAAAGATATCAGCTGCGTTAGAAAGTTTAGATTTGAACTTGAAGATCCAGCTGTGGTGCTTTCAAGCGATACAAGTTGCAAAAATTGTATGTGGAATACTAGTCTGGTACAATTGAGACAAATAGTCGAAATTCGAGCGCTTACGCCCAGGTCTTTGTTAGACGGAAATAGCAGCGAAAAAAAGGTACTTAAGTATTTTTGATAAAACGACTTTGATTTCGCTTAAAAAAGCAAAAGTCTGTTCTGGAAATGGAAATAATGTAGCTGATTATTGACCCGCTTGAAAAAAAAAAAAAAAAAAAAAAAAAAAAACAGTGTCGTCCATTTCTTAGATAACCGATAGTCGTGTACTTGGTAGACTAATTTTCTCGTCAAAATTGACAAGCAGGACGATTGTTCTGACAAGTAATTTCGAAGGTTCGGATGAATTTTTATTTTTTTCTTCGGTTGTATTAAATTTGCATTTTTATGTTTCTTTTTTAATATTTTTTTATGACAGCCGGCGGGCCGCCTTGCCGACTCATGTCTTTTAATTAATTAGGTCACTTTCATTGCGCTAAAACGTTTGCAGCATGTTCATTTCGATTCTGTTGCTGAATCGGAGCCATAATTTTAGTAAGGTCTTCGTCGGTCTATTTATCAAATCTTACAAACAATATATATTGAGCTATTTTATTGACAATAAGTCCCTGTTTTAGTACAAATTTGCATCTTGAAAATATTGGGATTAAATCTAGAAAGAACTCTTAGGGTAACCATTGGTAACCAGAGAATTTAGCCGTGAGGAAACTGAAAGAGATGTTAAACGATGATTACAAAAGTGGCCTTCAGCTTGACCGTGTTTCAAATCCAAAGAAAATTCAACACGTAAGAATTTGGAAGACGATAATTTGAAATATGTGCAAAAGACTCACGCCATTGACCGAAAACTACTGTGTATTTTGATAGTACATCATCTTGAAATATTGTTCGTCACGAGAATCCATTTGCCAGCAAAGATAAACTGAATTTGGCATTTTATTTGTAAAATGAGCAACATCAATTTTTCTGTGCTACCAAGGAAACCCATCTCAAAGTATACAAACTGCAGGGGTAGAAGATGATTGGCTGTTTTGTAAAATTCGTTGATCTCATTGGCTGCAGCAAAGTCTGCTATGTCTTGAATGACGTTTACCGCCAAAGTTTCAGGCAGGCGCAATGACTGTGTAACCATGATCTGTCCGCAAATGTGGTTTGCTCACAATAACACTGGCTTTATGCACTAGGTGACATGCTGGTTAATGTAGAGCTTTAAGACAGATCGTTGTATTTCATGTGGAAGAATTATTTTGGGAAATTTGGACATGGAAATGGAATTGGAAATACCCGGTGGTTTGACAGATTTGCTGCAAGAGTTTACGTATCAAGTTTTGTCGGAGAAACCGGACGATATTGTTGAGTTTGCTGCCAATTACTTCATGAAACTTAAGATAAAAGAGAAGCGCTCCAAGGACGGACCAAAAAAGAAGTCGAAAGGTGTTAGCTTTCATGCAGAAGAGAACGGTGGTGACAATTCTGATGACGAAGACGACGAAGGAGATATAGGTATAAACTGTGCGAAAGTCAATCAATCATCTTTTCGATCGAGCTATCTGACAACGAAGTCCCGAAACTCCGGAAGGAGTTCAAGAACTCTTCAGGCTTTTATTTCATTAACTCATTGCCCTTTTTGTTTAATATGACTTTTGTCTCATTACTTATGGCATGATTGTCAGATGAAAGAATTATTTTTGTCTACAACTGGTGGTTTGTACGTGTTGCAGGATAAGAAGATGCAAAGCGACTTGCTTTCGTGCCTTTTCTTTGATTGTCTATAATGAAATCAAATATTTGGTAATGAAACTACGTGTGGCGTAGTGTCTTACTTCTGTTATTGATGAGATCGTTTTCAATATATTTCAGAACCTCCTAAAAATCGATATGCAAGACGCCAATCTGGTAAGTTACGGACGCTGTTGATTTCATTTCGTTGTTCAGTTCACTGGTCAATTGCTTTTGCAAATGCTATGATAAGTATCGTTCTTTCGTTGCTCCATTACACATTATGCGGTTTAATAAGTGAAATCAACTCCGTACCTGTGTGTTCTCTCGATCTAATATCAGCTTAAAAAATGTGTCAAGCTATTTTATTTGATTATGAAACTAAAGAAGGAGTAAGAGAGGACTTTTAGGCTGAAAACGAAATTCGCGTTTCAAAGAACACAATTTCACTGTATTTTTTTTTTTTTTTCAGTTTGTGCCGAACCATTAAACCCTGATTCGGACGATGATGGCGATGAGAACCCGGTTAGTATCAAAGAGCTAAATCGATTATCATTTCACGTATGGTTTTCGCTGTATTCAAGTCCTCGCTTGTTTGTATATTGGATGCAACGAAATCTGCATTATTTCGGTTGAATTAATCTTTCTTTTGTTAAAAGTTAGTTCTGGCGATTTAGTTCGCAAACAGTTGCTGAATGGAGATAAGTCGATCTTAAAAAAAAAAACAAAAAACATTTTATCTTCGTAGTAAAGCGCATTTTTTGTTTGAAGTCAAAACACAGAAGCCATCTTGTGTTTGCAGTATATTTGTTTGAAGAGCGTGGCAAAGTAATTTTGATCAGTTTCCTGTCCATGTTGTCTCTTGTATTGTGCATTAGTCATCCAGCATAATCGTAATGAGAGCTATTTAGAGCATCAAAATTCAAGCATTATTCCAGAGTGTGATCTGTTGTCCTAGGGATAAAAAAAAATATTCAAGTTCATAATTGTATCTTGCATTATTGTAATATTACCACGATTATCCTTGAGCTATCATTAGATAGTGAGTATTATTAATCTTGTTGAGAATGTTTGTGCGAAAAGTGTTTTTGAAAATTGATTTATACACAGAGATAAAACTGTATTTATAAACATGAGCAGTATTCAAGATGGTTTCCTGCTGGGCTATCATTAAATGCCTGCGACCATCAGGTGCTTTCGGAATGATGCTAATCGATAAATTTAAATATTTAAATCTAAAATTTAGAATAGTTTTTTTTCCTTTGGAGATAATACGTTTTGCTATTTTGCAATTTATAGATATAAGGGGTGTTTTGAGAGTTATCGTAAAAGCTCAAGACATTGGCAAGTGTAATTTGCAAACCTTCTAATATCACAACTGATCTTTAATCACAAAATGCATGGGCAGTTCATGCATTTTTTAAATGAAAAGTTGTGATAATAATAATAATCTTATTTGTAAGATTTTGAGGTGATAAACTGATAAATGGTCTTTGTCCCTTTTAAATTTTGCATAGATTTCATGGGTCTGTTATGACTTCATCAACATCTGATGAAGAAACATTGGATAAAAGCAAAAAACTTTAAACCATCTAGGTTAAAGTTTTTAAAAATGACTTAAAATGTCTCAAAAATAATGTTGTGACATTTGCTTAACTTCAATACTAAGTCAAGAAATAATACTTAATATACATTTAGAAAACACTGATAATTCCTCTGAGATATAAATACATTAGCAAAGTAAAACATTGATAAAATACTTGTGACAAGAAGAACAAATAAAATAGCTATAGAGTGATAAATAAACCACAGAATTTTGAAATTACCATTGTTTGTTTCTTATCTTGTGACAAACCATATATGATCACATGATTTAAAAAGTATTTTCCCATCTTCTCTATCATTAAGGTCACAATACAAAATTTACCTGTCAGCAAAAACTCTTTTATTTTGCATCATGTTGAAATTTCTTTCTTTGTTGGTCTTGAAATCAATATTACTTTCTTTGCAGATTGTGTATCCAAAAACTGATGAACAAAGGAAGCGTTTAAATGAGGCAGTCAAGAATATTTTGCTTTTCAAGAATGTTGCTGTGGTAAGTTGTTGATAGTCTCAGTACTTAAAGGAAAATTTTTTTCTTTGAAGAGAGAGAATTATACCATTTGAAACAGCAAATTATAACAAATTATATTACACAATATCAGCGTTCATTGAGGTTTTCTATGGGATTGTGTGAGTGGGGCTGGATGGTTCATGCAATAAATTTAAGTTTTTCTATTTGCTATTGTTGTAATTGTCCTGGGTAACTCATTAAATTACCCAAACTGTTGCCATGTCAGTCTTGAACAATCCACACTGCAACTGCTTCTAATATTAGATATTAAGTGAATGAATGAAAATCATTAACTTTAACTCTAAATTTTGACAAAATACATCCCTTGATATGGTATATTGCAAATCAAAGTTATCCATTGTTCACGTCATCTGAACTTTGCCCCAACTCCCATTTCTAGGAACAACTTAATGAGGTTCTTGATGCAATGTTTGAAAGAAAAGTGCAACCAGGAGATCATGTTATAGACCAAGGGGATGATGGTGACAATTTTTATGTCATAGACAAGTAAGTGTTGCATTTTCTAGGCTCGGTTTTTCTGAACAAATCATGGAAGAGGCAATTGTGTAATTTTAAGAGCATACTGAACTGGCCTAGATCGTGATGAAGTTTTCTGGTGGTAACCTGCAACAAAGTTGTTCTTCCAACCAGGAGTAGTAAAAATAGTGCTTCAGAAATTGAGAGATGTGTACTTGTTAGCTGTGACATAATGAGCTAATTTTGAAGTATCCAGATGTAACCCTTCCACTCCCATGATTGACTGAGAAAGAATTTAATCTCATGATATCATTCAATCAAATTTCAAGCCCAGAAGCACAGATCATTATTTAATTTCAAACTGTGGCTATTGCATTTCCAGTGTTCTGATTGGTGCACTCAGCTCTGGTTATCAACTCATATATCAAATCACCAATGGAAAATGATTCACCCATATGTGCCATAGTGTGATTTACTTTAAGCTGGAACAAACACTTGTCCTGTGCATTGTGGATAATAACATTGTACAAAAGAAAATTATTCCATTCAGGCCTCTTAGATACCAGTTTGGTCATAGCTAACTTGGTGTTATGTGCCTCGTTGGCAGTATTATTTACCATCTTATAACAGAAATGTGCTGGTGGGATAATTGTTAATTATTAATTGGGGGAATATTGGTTGATCCAATACCTAAATTCTCCCAATTTACATCATGAGAATTTTATAGCAAACAGCTGAGAGAGTTACTGATGAGATCTTGGGAGTGAAAGACCTAACTTTAGCTAAGTTTTGTAATGCCCTGTTTCTTGACTTGAAATGTGTTGAAACCGGTTTTTTAGTGTGGTCAGATTCCTTTGACAAACCTGAATTAACCTCTAGCATTACCCTATGTTTATCCTTTTTCATTCAATATGTGATATCACTTAACATTTAAATTGTGTATTAAATCTTCAACAGGGGCATTTTTGACATTTATGTGAAAATTGATGGCAATGATAAACTGGTAAGAATCATTGCATGCATTTTAGTTTGGCTTTAGAAATTTTACAGCCTATTAAAGCCTGAACTTAAAAAACAATTGATAGAATATCTTAAATTTGTGAGGGGTTGATTTGAAAACACATACAGTGTACCTTAGCTACAATTTTACACGAAAAATTTAAGTCGATAGAGATATAACTACAATCCTGGCCAAAATGATATGGTACACGACAGTTGTTCCTCAACCTCCTCATGGGCGTTGCGCAAGCTAAATAAATTTTCAACTCAAAAAATAAACTTGCCAAGAATTCCTACCCCCTACCACACAGCTCTATACAGTGTTGATGTTAATACCCTGTTCTCTATCATGTGTTTGACTCTAAAACCTAACATTATCAAAGGTTGGGGGGGGTGGGGGGGGATCAGAGAGGAGAAGGAGAAATGGATGGAATTGTTGTTTACTTGCGAAAATGATTGAGTGAGTGTTAGGAATGTTTTGTTCAGGATGTTGGGAGAATGGTACTGGCAGTTTACCCTCAAAATTTTTTATTTAAAGGTTCAAAAAGGAAATAATGTTTTTTTTTTTGGATTGATTTGTTCAACTGTTAATAGGTTGGAGCATACAATGGAAAGGGAAGCTTTGGTGAACTTGCATTGATGTATAACACACCAAGGTAACTTCATACATGTACATCATTTCAAACATTGTATGAATGTTTTATTGGCATCTCTATCAGTATCCAATGAATTTTGGTATGAAAGTGAACAGGCAGAAATTGATATCTGTAGTGGAATTCTGACTGAGTAAAATGACTTAATGTATCTGTTACCCTGCTCCACCCTCCAATGAGAACCATACCAGTTGGCCTGATAAACTTTTGGGCATGCATGGCTGGAAAGGGAGGTAAATGGTACCACTCCCTCCCCCCCCCTCCCCCCCCCTCGATGTATGCAGCAGCAGGGAGTTCTGTCTAAGTATCAGACATGCTCACTTGTATGAAGGGCAGTTAACACTCTCCAAGGGATGAATTGTTATTTAAGCAGATACATTGTAAATGATAGCGAAGTGTACTAGCTGCTCTATCATTCAGATAGAAATTTATCCAATGAATAGCATTATCCAACCTTTGAACAACCAGGGCTTGTAGTGAATTTGTTTTAAATTTTTTTTATGTAGTTTGTTGCAACTTGGTAACTGAAATGTTGTACCTTTTTATAACCATGCTGGTATTTTAAAGCTGTTTTTGATGCAATTGCATGTATTTATTTTTGTCAGTTTCTGAGAAGGAAATATCAAGAAGTTAATAACCAAAAATAGAGTTAAAAAAAGTAGGTAAAAGAGAATGCAAGAGAAGTAAAACTCAGCTAGGATGCCAAGAAAGTAAATTTTGCATGGAGTGCCTGTGAAATTGTTTTGTCTTTGCAGAGCAGCAACAATAGTGGCAACATCTGAAGGAATTCTCTGGGCTCTGGTAAGAAAATACATTTTGAGCACTTTTGCCGTCAGAATGTTTAAGACAGTATCTAATTTTAACTGATGGCCTTGCAATTTATGTGCTAATGAAGTACTCATTATTTTAACAGGACAGAAATACATTTAGGAGGATATTATTAAAAGCTGCTGCCAAAAAGGTGAATGATAAAATATTTTACAGCTATTCACCATAGTGGAGGTGTCTAGTGGTAGATATTTATGGAGCTGTGGAATGGCAAGGTAAATATGTGCCACTAGCCACAGACCCTGGAGTGAAAAGTTGTTTTATTGTGTACTAAAACAGTGGAATAAGATAGCACAAAAAGATGATTTTAACTCATTTATTCTTGCAATGAATACCATATTTTCGGGTGTAAATCCCAGGTGCGTAGCAGAAAGGTGAATTGGAAAGGATGATTTGAGTAGCCAATTAGAGTGCACCCTCAACACTATCCAAGTTGTTTTAGTATAACTTAAATAGACATATTACAGGTGTTCACAGTTTTATGTGTCTCTCAGAAAATGAACTTAAAGCAGGGCTCGAATTTAATTTTTGGATCATTAACCCTTTGGGTTAGTAGACATCTTTTTTACTAACCAAATTATAAAGTTTGGTATCCAAGCTCACAAGTTACTATATCTAAAATATTGAACATTTTGTTAATAACAACCAGGAGTAATTAAAGAGCAGCTGAAATTGCATGGTTACCTTAAAAACGTTGACAGTTATGCACCTATTTTAATTCCCTCTCGTTTACCGTGAGTAAAGACCTCTGCATAATTCAGTGCCGAATGGCTAGAACCTCGTGAACAATAATATTTTAGTGCGAATAAGGATCTGCAACATTGGCGGTTTGATAAAGTTGTGTCTAGATCCCCACATTCGACACAAATTCGCATTCAGGGCCTTAGCACTCAAAATGGCTGTAAAGCTCTATTCGATCCCAAAGACGGCAAGAACAAATTGTTTGAGACAGAAAACAAGCTAATGCAAGTAAATAACACATAAACCGTTCCTAAAACTTGGTATTTATTTGTAAAAAGGTTATTTCCATAACATAATTTAAATATGTTAGAAAATTTTACTATCCATGTCGGGTTAGTTGGACACACTTTTAGTAACTAAACGTTTAAAATTACTAACCATTGGTTAACGGTTACCGTTAATTTCGAGCCCTGACTTATATCATCACGGTATTTCTATAGTTGTTATTACTATTATCGTAGTATTATTGTAGTTATCATTATTAGTATTGTGGTTGGATTTCCAACACTATTTTACCATGTTGGGAACAATGCTGACAAGCTCACATTCTCTTGGAGAAATAAGTTCAGTCCTTATCAACCCTTGAACTTTTACAGACTTCTGCTGCAGTACCTTTATTTCAGTCCATCTGCAAATTTTGAAGTCTTCAGAAATTGAAGTCTTCAATTAACCATACGATAAAAGATACATATCCTATGTTACATAAAATTAAATTATTTAATTATAACAGGTTATGTTAAAAATTTGTCAGTTTACAAATGTGTTCCTGAAACGTTCTGTGGTAATCTTTGGGCAGAGGCAAACCTTGCGACGCAAATTTTATTGCTGGGGTTTAGGCTTTGGCAGAATTTCATTTAACGGATGATGGCTTAGGGCAGTAGCTCCACTAAATAATTTCTTATCCTGCATATGCAGGATATCCTTGATATTCAGTGGAACTGAAATATAACGACTGACAAAGACTGAATCCTTCCTTGTTTAACCTCAGTTTTGTTGTCAATTTTCAGAGGAAAATACATGAAAAGTTACTTGAGCAAGTTCCTATGCTGAAGGAAGTTACGGTGAGAATTTTTTTCATCTTAAAAAAACCTTACTCAGACAAATGAATTTTTTCTTCCACTCGCAAGATCTCATTATTAATTCTCTTCACTGTCTGTGTTACTATTCTTATTATATTTGTTTGGAGGATTAGGTATTGGATCAACTAATCATCACGTAAATTTTTTTTCTTTATTCTCAACACTTGTCTGCTTGATGTTGTGTTGATATTGCAAGGAGAAATTACGTCTTGGTCACTCGTAGGAGTTAAATTTAGAGAATGAATAACCGAGATTCCAGTGAAAGACGAATATATTATCATTAAATATTGAAATGAAGAAACCATTTGCCCTGGTGAGAGAAAGTTCATAACACAAGACATAAATTCTTTCAAAGTCCGGAAAATACCTTTTAATTTTGCCATAAGTCGGGGACAATCATGTAAACGAGTTGGTGGAGTTTGTTTTCAAGTTGTTTCAAGGCTAAGGAGAGGTGTGTTACATGATCTCTGACACTTTCTGCAGTTTGGTTTATCATTCAAATGTCGAACTAGGGGCGTGGTCGCTGAAAATGTGTTAATTAAAGGCCTGTTTTGAAGAAAAACCAGCGGTAAAATTGAGGGATTCTGGTCAGTGGTAGCAATGAGTTTGTTTTATGATAAATAGCGTTGTATTTTCTTCATTTATCTTCAGGACTATGAGATCATGAATCTAGCCGATGCACTTCAGTCCAGGACGTTCAAAGATGGTGATTGCGTGATTCAGCAGGTAATATAACTACATACATTAGGGCCAACAATCAATGAACTGATAAGTAGTTTTACCGACAAAATGCAACGAGATTGCAAGCTCGAGTGGTAACTACCTCAATCCTTCTCGTTCCCCCGAATCATGAAATCCGCATCCTGTTACACACCCACTGGCCTATCATATGCATTCCTCTTGGTGGAAAGTGGGGGAGGGGGGGGGGAGGAATCCCAAATATTCCATTATAACTAACAAATAGTTTCTATGTTGTTGTCCGTCTGTTCCATAATATGTTAAAGTGTGGTAAGAACAAAAATGTGGCACACGAGACGCAGCTGAGTATGTCTCTAATGTCCTTACCACATAATAACTGATTATGGTATTTAACAATTATTCCACAAGCGCGCGTTGGATATGAGATGATAGATAGCCAACGAGGCGGGTAGCGCCGAGTTGGCTATCTATCATCTCATATCCAACAAGGGCGAGTGGAATAATTGTGTTATTAAAAACGTTGAATTAAATTATTAAATTTTATTAAATTTTTAGATCTCTTTTAATTTTAAGCAGACACGTACGCTTACCATATTTGTAGATTATGGTATTTTGGCTGATATACCATAATGGCTAAGCCAATAAAAAGTCTTGAATTACATTATCCAATGATCTAGTTTTTAATAATATCAGTTATGCGTCTGTCCTCTAATAGATCATAAGTAAGAAACAAATATAATGAATGGGTTATTCAGCATATTGTGTAAATAGAAACCCTTCACAGGAGATTATAACTTCTAGACTTTTCTTGGCAGGGAGATGAAGCAGACTGCATGTTCTTTGTAGAGAGCGGAGTAGCATCTATCAGGATACGTAATCAGGTACAGCATCCCTTCAGTTTTCCCGCTTTCTTCAAGTTGAAACACAAGGTCATGACTTTTTCCAGCAAAGAACAATATTATCTTAATTTTGAGATCTGTCGATGATTCATTAGATGTTGTTTTTCCTCTTTTGGTTTCTACCCATCTTCGGCTCTATTTCTTTTTACGTCTTAGAACTCATGGCATAATGTATTTGCTTTTGTAATTTGGTTATATCAACTCAGTTGAAGTTGTAAATTGGCCACCGTAACGAATAAAAAAGCTGGGTTACCCCCACCGACGCAGCACCACAGTTTCTTTGGAACCTTTTAGCCTTAATTCATTTGTATTTTCTTTTGCTCTGTAGGATGATCCGACAGAAGAAGTAGAACTTACACAGTGTACAAAGGGAGGTTACTTTGGTGAACTGGCGCTTGTTACCCATAAACCACGTGCTGCCTCAGTGTATGCTGTGGGAGACCTTATCACCGCGGGTAGGCTGGAAAACGTGGATCAAAGGGCTTTTCAATTAGAGACCAGTGATTATTCATCGCCCGAGGGAGATGGGGTTTAGGGGAGATCACATGGTTTTTCAGGGGAATGGAGGGAGATTCGAAAATTGACTACCAAGTAACTGCCAATGAAGGAAGAATTTTAAAAGAAAGAAACAACAACAACAAATTCGTGCCAGCAAGAAACAAGTAGTCCAAGAAAGTTTACATTAACGTTCGAAATCTTACTCAGGAGAACGGAAAAAATCCGCGCAAAAGTTAATCAGTAATAACAACAACAACGAAACCCATGTCTGGAAAAGAAAGAATTTCCGGTTTTCACCTTTCAATTTTACCACTGCTCCAAACCTAACTTGACAAGGAAGTTGGCGAACCCTCCTTGGAAGAGCTAAGAATACGCCTTTATGTGTTGAGTTCAATCAGATATGTTTTTCTTTTCCTTTAGTTCTCGACGTGCACGCTTTTGAAAGGCTTCTTGGCCCTTGTATGGATATCATGAAGAGAAATATCGATGGGTATGAAGATCAACTGAAAAAACTTGGCATTGGGCACACAGAACTACGATGAAGTGTCTTGGAAAGGATAGTGATTTTACAACTGCTCAAAGATGGCCTATTTTTAGACAAAGGAACATTTGCTGTTTCTTTACCGCTTCACCTTGCCAAAAATCTGTTTTGGAGTTTCAAAGCGGGAAAATTATTATTCTATTCGATTTGTTCCGTTGTATTTATAAATAAGGTTTAATTTTAATTTTTGCGTTGAAAAAAGAAGGAAAAAAGAATTGGATCATAATTTATTGTTTTACTGAATCACTTTGTTACATGTGAGATAGAACGCACGACAGATGTTTATTACAATTCTGGTGACTTGGAATGTAAATAAAACATGTTTATTATTATTATTATTGGCAGATTCTTTGATGTTTCGTACTCACTTAGCTTAGCCATCCCGTAACCTTGTGCTTTCTCATTTTGAGTAGCTCATTTTTGGAGTGGTTATTTTTTTAAACCCGCCTTTGGAACGTTGTTTTGGATGCGAATTTGAAACGTTTCGAGAAAGCAAGTGGGAATGCTTGCATTGAACGGTTTGAGAGCACAACTGGGTTTGGGCTTTGTGAAGTGTTCGGGAGCACGCAAATCATAGCAACTAAGAAACGGAATCTGCGAAGTAATTCGGGTCGAAATTTTAGGAGCTGTTTAATCTGCGATAGAGAAAAATAGTGACTGTTTTGGAAACGCTCTCGAGAATGCCGTTGGTAAGGAGAGGGGGGGGGTCAAGATCACGTTTCACGGAAAATAAATGGGTCCTTTCACAAATCACGGTCATTTATAATTACTGTGGAAACTACAACCAAAATCACGGTTCACGACGAACTAAATACCTTTTTCTCATTTAACGGAGAACTATTTTGGAAAATCATGGTTCACAAGACAAAAACAAGCCCTTTCACGTTTCACGGGAAAAAATAGGCCATTCACGAATCACGAGAATACCCAGTACCACCCTCGTAGATCAATGCTCGACTCGGGTAATTTCTGAAACTTCCTTTTATTGGGCCCCATGCGATTACCTATACTGATATTCACTTGACTGCAATTGTCTGAGGGCAACGTTCATTAAAATCGTTATCAAAGCCATATAAATCTGAAAAAAGCCCCGATTTGGAAAAACAATTCTGCAATGTCGAACCCAAAATCCAACTGTTGCGCGCTTAGTGGCCAGGCCCAAGAACAGGAGTGAGCTTGATGAATAAGCATGATACCAGAAACGAGGTGGTCAAGATCTGTTTAAACAGAACCCCGTGTCGAGAGGGCCTGGTTCGAGGCCTGGCCTGGTCAGTGTGTTGCGTTTTTGTGCCCCTCTCGACCCAGGAGTAAATGTGTAAAGAGTATCCGCTTTTCGGTAGTTTTGAGCTCTAAGTAAAGAGACCATTTCTAGAACGAAGGCGAGGCAAGAAAAGACACATCATACATAATCAACAAGTTTTTTCTCCGCAGCAACTCATCGCTTATTAACTAAATTTTATCACAATAGTCAGGAGAAGAGAAGGTTTCATTAAAACAGTACGTAGAGAGCGCTTGGCGGAGGAGCGCGTAAGGCTTGCGAGGGCGACCCGCATGGTTCGCATGCTTGTGATATTCCCACGCGTGGCACACTCGCTCCACACTGGGTTCTCTGCTAAGCGCCCCGCTACGCTAAATGTACGTTGTACATTGGTGAGTGCAGTCGGAAGTTAGAGTTGTAAAACTTCAACCATGGTAATCAAAACAGCTAATAGAGAGAAAGTGTATATAAAAAAAGCTGACGAAAACTTAAACACACAGCAAACTATCAGAGAGCGAACAAGATGTAAGGCCAGGGCAATTGTAGCCTCCAAGCAGACCCTTGTTGTAAGCACTTCAGCATGAGTTCCTTCGCCCGCTAGAAATTTTGAGGCCTCGAGCAACGCGAGCCAAAGAGAGGTCTGCAAATCTCTCTCGTCTCAAATCTTCCCGGGGGTGGAGAAACGTGCGTCTTGCAGCGCTGACAATGTGGGCCTCCTCGCGGCTCAAGTAATCGTGTATTACTTTCGACACTAGGTTGAAAATTGCTCTTAGCAGGTCTGACAACGATTTCAAATGTTATAAAACTCACAACGAATTCTGGTTTCGAACGTTCTACCAAATGTTCTCTCAAGTGGACATAAATATTATTTTCTGTTACTACATAATTATAACCAGTCACATCTAAACGCCTGTACAATAATCAATAGAGAAGAAACCCGTTGTCATATACAATTTCGTGATACTTCGAATAAAACTTATTTAACAGTGCAACTTTGTACATTGCGAAAAGAAAAGTCGAAAAGTGTTTATCATTTCGTTACTAAATAGAATCAAGTAACACCTCGTTACAGCGTTTGTCACGCAAATCTTTCTGAACAGCGAATCCAACACGGTAGAGTCATATACAGTGCAGTTGACGAAAAAAAAAAAAAGAAAAATGCAGAAAATTTTCGGAATTTCCTCCAGTACAACATCGGGTGAAGTTTTCCCAAAAGGATGAGTTTACAAACTTGACCGTCATATGAGCAGACAGGAAACGTCGCTACTGTAC